GGTTTGGAGAAGAAGAGGTTTTGGTGGTTCGTGGTGATCAGGTGGGTCCTTGGCATGTAGCAAGACCTAGGGAAGCAGGGTTAAGCCTAGAAGATCACCACTGAGTTTTGGGTGGTGGAGTAGGGAGTGTTCTCTGTTCTTCTAAAAAAATTGGCACCCAAAAAGATTTTTCAGGATTATTTCAGCCATAAAGAGGGAGCAGGTTCTTGTTTTCCCCCATTGCTTGGGGAGTGTTATTTATGATTTTTATCTAATGACTATTTCATATGTCAGGAGGCTGTTTATAGGCACCTTCTGAGGGCAGTAGCTACTTCTGGGCAATATTTTCGCAGCAGTGGGCCTAGATCACTTCCAGCAGGGGAACTGAATCTGTCTTGTATGTTCTTGGTAACTGCTGTGCTTGCTAGCATATCGTGTAATCGAGTGAACATTACCTCCATTTGTCTGGAGGCAGCTGCTTCCACATTTTAGAAGGAACTCAGCTGAACAGCACATCAGGAGAGTGCACTAAGGGTGCATACTGAGTTGAGCCCCTAAAGGATTTCAAATGGAGAAATGCTTGATCTCTGGGAAAGAAATGTGATGCACAAGTTTATGAACATGCATATATATATATATTGAAGGCACTCATGCAGATCCGGATACTTTGAGGACTCAGAAAAGAGTAAGAACAAGAATGGTTTGTCTGAGTAATAACTATGGCACTGGGAAGCCTTAGCAAGTGCCTAATTCCCTAGGACATTGAAAAGATTTCTGGTTTTCAAATGCAGACCTGAAATTACTTACTTCTTTATCTTCAATAGCTCTGCTAAATTTCACTTTGAATTTCAATCAGGTATTTTTTTTTAAATGTGCTTTTAATGGAGATATGCTTAGCAGTGTTCAAAAAACCAAAAGATCAAATTAATCGTTGGTAACAAGTAGTTGTTTTTTCTTCTTCCTTGTTCATCCCAATCAAACCTTCTCCTTTTACCAAGATGATAATTTCAAAATCAAAGTGATCTTTAAATGTTGTTACAGGGACTTTTAGAGAGTAGAATTTACGAGTTCTTCGACATACATTATATGCGTCCTTTGTAAATCTGTAGTCCAGCGTTTTTTCATTAACAGCAAGAGCTTGCGAGGGCCTGGGCCTCAGCTGTTTTCTGCCATCTGGTGGATACATGGAGTCACTACCTCAATGCTTCTAATTGCCACTAATTCTTAGTAACCAATATTCTAAATAACTAAGCAAGTATCACAGAATCCCAGGAGCGTTGAGGTTGGCAGGGACCTCTGGAGGTCATCTGGTCCAACCCCCCTGCTCAAGCAGGGCCACCTACAGCCGGTTGCCCAGGACCATGTCCATGCAGCTTTTGAATGTCTCCAAGGATGGAGGCTCCACCACCTCTCTGGCCAACCTGTGCCTGTGCTCAGTTACTCGCACAGTGAAAAAGTGTTTCCTGGTGTTCAGAGGGAACCTCCTGTGTTTCAGTTTGTGCCCATTGCCTCTGGTCCTGTCACTGAGCCCCACTGAGCAGAGCCTGGCTCTGTCCTCTTTGCACTCTCCCTTCAGGTATTTATATACATTAGGAGATCTCCCCTGAGCCTTCTCTTCTCCAGGCTGAACAGCCCCAGCTCTCTCAACCTTTCCCCCTGGAAGAGATGCTCCAGTCCCTTCATCATCTTTGTGGCCCTTTGCTGGACTCTCTCCAATATGTCCATGCCTTTCTTGTTCTGGGGAGCCCAGAACTGGACACAGCACTCCAGATGTGGCCTCACCAGTGCTGAGCGGAGGGGAAGGATCACCGGAGGTCATCTGGTCCAACCCCCCTGCTCAAGCAGGGCCACCTACAGCCGGTTGCCCAGGACCATGTCCATGCAGCTTTTGAATGTCTCCAAGGATGGAGGCTCCACCACCTCTCTGGCCAACCTGTGCCTGTGCTCAGTTACTCGCACAGTGAAAAAGTGTTTCCTGGTGTTCAGAGGGAACCTCCTGTGTTTCAGTTTGTGCCCATTGCCTCTGGTCCTGTCACTGAGCACCACTGAGGAGAGCCTGGCTCTGTCCTCTTTGCACTCTCCCTTCAGGTATTTATATACATTAGGAGATCTCCCCTGAGCCTTCTCTTCTCCAGGCTGAACAGCCCCAGCTCTCTCAACCTTTCCCCCTGGAAGAGATGCTCCAGTCCCTTCATCATCTTTGTGGCCCTTTGCTGGACTCTCTCCAATATGTCCATGCCTTTCTGGTTCTGGGGAGCCCAGAACTGGACACAGCACTCCAGATGTGGCCTCACCAGTGCTGAGCGGAGGGGAAGGATCACCTCCCTCAACCTGCTGGCAATGCTCTTCCTTATGCAGCCCAAGATACCATCAGCCGCCTTTGCCGCAGGGGCACATCACTGGCTCATGTTCAACTTGGTGTCCACAAGGACTCCCAGGCCCTTTTCTGCCAAGCTGCTCTCCAGTTGGGCAGCCCCCAGCATATACCGGTGCATGGGGTGGTTGTTACCCAGGTGCAGGACTTTGCAGTTCCCCTTGCTGAATTTCATGAGGTACTCGTACAGAGTACTTCATGAGTACTTTTACAGAGGTTCTATTTAAGAAAATATGAGATCTGTTCAAGCTTTTCATAGGAAAAAAGCTTTTTACATCTGGATACTTAGTAAAAAATCTCCTTCTCTTTTACATGTATTTTACTGGCTGATTGACAGCACCTACACTAGTGAATATTTGACCTATGCAGGTTTATAAAAATGAACTGGCTAATTACACCATACACATTTGTTCCATATCAATATATGCACCAAATGCACTGTTTTCTGTTTTGACAGGTGCACTGATTTAAAGCATAACCACAATTTTAGTGTGGAGCTGAAATCAAGGGGCGTATCTTTTGTGATAGCATGCAGTAAAAAGAAATGATCAATAGGACCTTAGGAATGCTCAGCATTTAGCAATTCATTCCTTGCTGGAGTCAACCATTAAACATAGATCAAGCTTGCTGCTGAAGACTTGGTGGACACAACCGATCGTGGTTGGGATGATTCATCAAATCATCGTTCTGCAGCTTGTTGACTATTTCTATCTCAAGATATACTTGATTTTTCAAAAAATTAGTTTTTAACCTTTAATTGTACACAAATTCATGTAGGGTAGAATCAGAACCTTGGATTTATTTTGTTTATTTAGCACTCCTTTGTATTTTTGAAGTTAAAGACAGGTTGCAGGGAAAGAACAGTCCAACCTACTGGAAATGTATGACAAGTATTTTTTATGAGGATCAGAACTGACAAAAGCTGGTTATAGATTTTTTGTCATGTGGCTTACTAAGAGTACCAGATAAAAGCTATTTGCATATTTAAAAAGTCTGTCTCCAATTCTTCTGGTGTCCAATAATGCATGGACTTGTTAGCCTTTTCTCCAGTTGAAGCAATTACTTTGGGTCTGTCCATGCAACGCCTTCTTGCTTATCTTTTAAACCTCTGGCCTCTGACAAAGTTCTCAGGTGTGTTCAGACTGTCAGGCACACACTGTTACTGTGTAAGAGTTCTTCCTGTTAAGAAACCCATCAGAAAAATGTACTTGGGTCTTGCATGTTGCAGGAACATGAGTGTTAGAGAGAAGGTCTAGCCACAAGAGCGTTTGCTTTCAAATGTTTAAAAGAAGAATCAGACCAGCCTTCACAGAGTTTGTTTTGGAGGGGGGAGTTAAATCCCTAGGAGGAACTAAAATAATTTGTCTGTGTAGTGATTTCTTGCTGCTTTCTGTTTATCATCAAGCATTTGATACTTGTTTTGTATCGTACCTCCAAAGGATTGAGTGGCTTCCTGTTGCTGCGTAATGACTCGATCCCTATTTGATGCTGGATGAAAACAAGAGTCAGTATTTTAGGTCAGAATGCTCCAGAATGAGATTATTTTATGGAACAAATTATGATTATGATTTAAGGATTAAACAATCCTTCAACAATCCTTTTATCATGACAAGTATGTGATGCCCATTTTTCAGATAAGAAGCACATCCAAGTGAAATATGGAGTGGACTGCTTGTGGTTTGTTAAGACAGAAGGGGCACATCCAAAGCCATACAGGGAATCAATGGGAAAAGCTAAAAACAGAAGGCAAACCATATAAACTTGCACCAGGTCATGATCATAATCGACATAATCTCTGGAAGATACAGGTGTACCTAGAAGTGAGAGTCATGAAAAGCACAATTCTCTGGCTGTCACTGAAATTATATGCAAGAAACTTCAGATTTATCTGCTAGCATGCAGAATACCCACTATTCACTGTCAGGTAGATTATGGTAGCAAAAGTGATAATATTTAATGAAATGGGAGGAGGAGCTACTTTTTCTCGATCAAGCTTTTGAAACAGCATTGAAGAAGGAGAAAGCACATAGGACAAACTGCAATGGAGCAAGCTCTGAACAACTTTGTATTTAAACAAGTACATTTTCCTTTTTATTTCATAAGAAGTTTACTGTTGAAAAAATGGTATGTATTAAAGCAAACACATTATACACATAGATTAAACATCAGATAGCAAAACCTTACGGAATGAGCACTACTGGTTGTATTGTGTAGGGTTTACAATCAAAGATATACTTAAAAACCCTCAAGAATTAATGTACTTTCAAGGTAAATTAGGCACAAAATTTAGCTTGTAACTAGCTCTGCAAGCATCTCACTGTGATTTCACTGTTACAAAGTATTACAAGTGATCAAAAACATAAGCTGACTTTTAAAATTTTTAAAATTTTATTCGTACTATGTGCTGAAATAGTACAAATGTATACAACACTCCACCTTTGTTAAAAAAGCATGTACAATAGGGACTATAAAGTAGAATCAAATGGCTAATTACTGGAAAAAGAAATTACCCCTTTATTTGGGCTCAGAATTAGTATGACATAAATCTATGGCTTTGCTTTGTGGACATATTTGAAATTGAGTAAGTCCTACAAATGCTGGGAAGAAACAGGAAGATATTTTTAATAGGTATGAGCTACAATAGCAATATTTTAAAGGAACATTATTAGTAAGGAAACTAGCTGGTATCTGACATATATGCCTCTCTCAGTTTTCTGAATAGGATGCAAGATACAATGTGAAATTTTAAAGAATGAGAGATTGTCTCACAAAAAAAAAAAAAAAAGAAAAAAAGAAATCCAAGGAGCAAAAAACCTTCAAGTGATTTGCTGCAAGGTTTTAGCTTAGATGAGGCTTTAGCTTAGAAAGAATTACTCATTTGCAAGAAATGACAGGGCAACAGCAAGTCTGTGGACCATAATAAAATCTTACCTCACAGAAAACACAGTAATCTTCTAAATATACATATTAGAAAAGTGTTTGATTAAAATACCAGATTTTTTTAATCTTCTCTTAGCAAAATGTATTGCTGAAAGTTGTCCTTTTTTGCATGTTTAAAACAAAACCCACTATGATTGCCACAGAACTACAAGGAACTGCATACTTTCTAGGGATACATTTTTACTGCATCATACAGGAACTGCTTAATAGGTAAAAATAAACATCTTAAAGTCTTAATGCTGTTTTTGATTAGCAGAAACAAAAAAAGGAATGCACTGAAGCAAGATGATAACAAAGTGTATCATGCAGTATTTTGGCTTAATGTATACAGTATTTCAAACCAATGATGTGACTGGAGACTGGGGGTTTTAATCCATTACATTCACATGACATAATTTAGAATTAAAATTGTATGTGAAGGCAAACTGTGTGGAAACGTGAAAAACACTGGGATGCCTAACAAAAGCGTGCCAGATGTGTTATTGTTTCTAGCATGCAGAGCTAATGCTTGAAGGCCTATCACAGCAGTATAAACTACTGCTACTTCTAGTTCTTTACATTACTGCTTTGTTTATGCTGGCTGTGGTCTGGTCACGGTCAGCAAGTGCTGTATGGCGTTAGGAAGTTAACCCACAATCTCTGCAGGTTCAGTGACCAACTTAGATCCATCCCATGCTGTCTTGAACTGTTCAGGAACCGGAAATTCTTTCTGGTAAGAAACAAAAGCAACAATGATGGTTAAATAAACAGTGGATACCTCATGAAAACTGGTGGAATACTATTAGTGCTACATGACTGAGAAAGCATTGATAGCTCAGACATGCCAGGATTAGAGAGAAGCCTTCTTCATTACCCTAGGAAGCTATTTTACAATGCCACACAGGAAAAAGCCTTATTGCTACCCCGTTTCAAATAGCCTTGGTATGGTACTATTTTGCAATAATCCCTCTCACACCATTATTTGGAACAACTAAGTAAATAAGCCTCATGTCAGAAATTACTTTAGATTCCAACAGTGTCTGGGTTGGAAGACAGTACAAAGGATTTAGATGTGGAGATTTAGCGTGGAGACTAATTTTAAGGACGAAAGCAATATTACAATATGGAAGAATAAAATAAAAAAAAAAACCTATAATTTTAAGTGTGATACACTTCAAAAGATTCAGCATCCCTTGTGGGATACACAAACTGAAGCAAAACGTCAAAGTCTCCTTCCATTCTGTATATTTGGTGAAAGGATGGGAGATGTTGTTGGGTCTTTCTCTGTTCCCAGTAAACAAAATGAGATGTGAAGAGAAGGGTTTTTTCATTTGGACCTCAAATAGGTGTTTTGATAGCCAGTAATTTCAGATGATACGGTGATTTGAGATGAGACTGATCAAAAGGACCTTTTTTTTTTTTTAAGAAGTAGGTGAATATGCACCCACTGAAAATCATTCCCGTTTTAGTTATCTGAAGCTGGGCATCCAGCAGTCACTTTTGGAAATGTAGAACATGGGAATTCTCTTGTTACATGTTTTCTTTTATAAAGCCTAAACCCCTCTACCATACAAAATTCCAGCCCAAAAGATTTACGAGAAATTTAAGTTCTGTCTATGGCCATTCAGTGCAATTTCAACGCTGCTCTGTTGAGGAAACTATTACAAGTATGCTTTGCCTGCATGATCGCTTGCTAGTGTGTGAAGTGACAGAGCCTGACTTTACTAGAAATGCTGTTGGGCATAATATGAAAATCTTACTAGAACAGAAAAGGAGCTGGGAAAATGCACATGTTTAAGTGGCTTTTAAGGACATATGTTGAAAATAATAGAAAGTACTACAGATGCTACCCATGTATCGACAGCTTTAGAAAAAACTAAGTATACTATACTGTATTATTTAATCTGTAATATTATATTTATCTTAGTTTTAGCATCATCATCTTCAGGCTTGACTGCTCTTGTGTGGTGAGCTTCTTTGGGAGATTATGTTTACATATTAAAAAAGAAAATTAAATGGACAGGAGATGAAGCCATTATCTATCAAAATGGAAAGAAATAATGTCATGTCTGATCTTTGAAATTACTTTGTGCCCCAGAAAATAAGGAGTGCTTCCTGTACTGATAGCTGAGATATCAGTACATAGAAATTCAATTGTTTTGGATCGTTTTTTGGTGATGTAATATGTGTGGTATGTTAGTTTCTTTCCTAGCAGTTTAAATGCTATTAGCTACCAAGACTAGTGGGGAAGGGGGAGGAAAGCTTTAAAAATATCTCACTCACATAATCACCATCTTGGGGGATGAGGATGTTCATCTCGGATGACTTGGCACTCACAATCTCACAATCTAATGATTCCTCACTGAGGTAGATGTGGCAGCCTTCTGTTTTGTTAATAGAAACGGTTGGCACTTTCCCCATCACCTGCAAAACAAAATCTACTTAATACTAAATCTTAAAATGCACACAAAGATACTGTTAATAAAGTCCTCATTGCCTGCCAAGTCTAATTTTGGCCACCAACATCTGATCTGTGTGTCAGCTGCCTCCATGGTGCTTATATTTGATTTGTTAGACACTGTAAAAATTCTTGGTGGTGGTAACAAAGATCTATACAAAACAGCAAACTTACACAGCAAGCTTTTAATATATACTTTGATGAAAGTGCTTCCCTGTTTCTCTCTGACTTCAGTGACGCTTTTGTGCTGACATTTAGGTGGTGTTCACCTTGTTCATCAGTGAGAACTGGTTAAGAAATCAAACATGTCAAGTCCAACACAGTAAGGGCAAATGAAAGATCCCAGCGTACAGTACTACTCAACAAGTGTTTTGTAATACCTTCTGAAGACTTCAAAGCTCTTCCAGGTTTTACAGCATACAATAGGAAAGGGTTTTTATCCCCTTTAGGCAAGCTACAGTTCTAAAAAAGTACTGAGATCAATTTAATTGAATCTCTAAAGGTATTTCTTATGTGACTTTAAAAGCAAGCACAAGATTTACTTGGGGAGAAAGGGAAATCTTCTCTTGTTTACAGTTCTACAGATTAAAAGCTTTCTTCACGGCTAACTGGCTGACTCGCTGGTTGTCAGTAAAAATTCCTCCTTCTGCTGCCCTCTCTAGCAGGGACAGCAATATACTCTGCACAATGCATCAAAAGGGCAGAGGTTATTCTGAGCCATAAAACAATAACAGCATGTGATAGATATGTACTT